TAGTACCCTCCTGTACACTTGCCCACTGGGGATACAACCTGAAACCTAGGTATGTGCTGACCAGGAATCGAACCCAAAACCTTGTGGTGTGCAGGACAACGCTCCAACCAAATGAGTCACCTCGCCAAGGCAATAGCCCCAGATCTGCATAGCTTACAGTAACAGCATGCATTTCTTGGTCGCTGGTCTGTGGACAGCTACAGCTCAGCTTGGGTTCAGCTCCAGACTGCGGGTCAGAATCCGGTCACCGCACATGCATCCCTTTCCCGTCAGGTTGCAGAACGGCCACCTGGGCATGCTCTTTTGCTGGATGGCAACTATACAAGAATCAAAATATGCAGATACATTTACAGCCTCGCTTAAGTGTGCCATAGGTCAAGTCCGCTCACCATGCACTGGCCAAAGCAGTGAGCCAGAGAAATGTACTCCTCCACAGAGCAGAGGAAGGGAAAGCAGCAGACCGGTTTCTAAGCCCTCAGGAACAAAGATAGGATCTCGCAATCTGCTCAGAGAGTCTGGGACGTTTCTAGAATGCTCATAAGGCATCTGGCTCCCTATCATGATAGACTGTATAGGTCAGAACAGGCTACAACAATGGCCCCAAAGTCCCAGGGGTTTATAAAATCTGAGGTTTAATTCTTGCTCACATTACTTGTCCGTTATGGGTCGACTGTCTCTGCTCCATGTCATCTACACTCCAGGACCCAGGCAGACAGAAGTGCCTCTTCTTCCCTGAGCATGGCTGGTTTTGTGGCAGAGGGGAAAGGGACAGATAGGGAATCACAAGCTGGCTCTCACAGCTCCAGTTCAAAATCACTCGCATCATGCCCACCTACATTCACTGACCAGGGCAAGGCACATAATAGCTCTGAAGTACAACAGGGCAGAGTTACGTAATTTTCCACAAGAAAGGGGGTTCTAAAAAAACATGGCCAAGCCTAGAGTCATTGATTAGGGAAATGTATGTCTCTCCAGGGAGGGGCAGAAAATGTCTTGAGCAATAACGCAATCTAGCACACCCACCTTCAGCCGCGGGAGCTGGGGTCAGATCCCCCATTCAATGATCAGATGTCTGGTTTGCCTAACATCCTGCTACATGAAGTCACGTAGGCATTGAGGACCATGTTCTTGTTAGCTTTTAAAACCTCTTAAAGGATTTAACCAATTGCTGCACAGTGGCATGCGGTGACCAATACCACCTAACATTTACTTCACTTTACTGACCCGGTTTTTGTTGTGTTTTTTTTTTAAATATATTTTATTGATTTTGTACAGAGAGGAAGGAAAAGAGATAGAGAGTTAGAAACATCGATGAGAGAGAAACATTGATCAGCTGCCTCCTGCACATCTCCTACTGGGGATATGCCCACAACCCAGGTACATGCCCTTGACCGGAATCGAACCTGGGGCCTTTCAGTCCGCAGGCCGACGCTCTATCCACTGAGCCAAACCGGTTTCGGCAACTGACCCGGTTTTAAGATAACTGGCGTTAGCAGAACAGACCTGAAAGCCTAGAATTTTCCATTGGCAACTTGAGGGAAGGAGTTCTCCACTCCCAGCCCAGTCATAGGGGTAGGACAGACGAAGAGCTGTGTCCACAGTATCACTCTGATTGCCTTTTCCAGAATCCCATGGTCTCCATGATGATGCCGGGTCAGGCCCATACTCCAACAATGTTGTCTACTGATTGGCATAGGAGAGGTGGCCTGGAAACAACCCTGCCTTCACAGCCCCGATTCTAAGGCACAAGGATTACTGAAATCCTCGTCTATCCCTTGCTAGTGTACTTTGAACCACAAACAGTTCCTAAACTGGATTGTGCCTGCTACCATGTCTAGGATGGAGCTGTCAGGGAAGGCAATGAAGGACAAAGACACCAAGAAATGACCATGAAATAGGGCTAGGATGAATAAATGGAGCGACAGCGGCAATCACAGTTTAGTGCATCTTCTGAAAACTAAGCTGAAGGGTCACAGGAGTAGGGGAGGCAGAACACCAGGCTGAGCTGCGCATCAGGAGATAACGACGCTGTGACACACGTTTCCCAAGTCAGCCTCCTCCACAAACCGCACCACGACCTGGTCCAAAAGGCCAGTGCGTTCCAACTTCTCACGCCTGTCCAGTTACTTCCCACATGCTAGCCATTCCTCTTCTCTCCTCCCCTTGCCCTCCTTCACTTCCATTCCCCGGTCACTCCTCACAGCCTCCATCCAGGCCAGCTGACTGCAACAGGCTCCCCAAAGGCTTCTGACTTCCAGAGTGAGCTGTTTTGGTCCCAATGAGACAGGACAGAAAGAAGTTAAGGGGAAATCCCAACAAGTGGAATGAGGATGTAGGAGCAGAGCTGACATCCTCTCACCGGAGCCCCCACTTCCACGCATGATCAAAGGGAAAGTTTATCCAAGAACCCCGAGGTGGTCTCAGAAGTTAAGGACAACGAGGCCCTTCCCAACCAGAGGCAGAGTCAGAATTTGGCACAGCAACGCTTAGCAACAACCACTCGGGCCCTGGAAACACATAAAGTCACAAGAATAGATAGACCACGTGCGAAACTCACCCGCGAGGTGGCCCATGTCCATTTGGATGTGTACTTTTGCTTCTTTCACAGCCTCACCCCCGCCCTGGCCTCTTTCTTTTTCTCTGCCTGAAGAACACTTGCTTTGTTCTCACTTCAACCAGTCTTGACATTTTTCCTGTGCGAATCAAGAGCCTGGAGGTCACCTGCCAGGAGTCCCTGACACACAGGCCCGGGGCCAGCCCCTGGCACTGAGGTGATCTGGTAACAGCAACACTTGCTAATCAGGTGAATTTGTGTAAAGAGATCATCTGATCTCTCCAAGGCTGTTCTGCTTCTCTGCAAAATGGAAAATAAAAGCTACCTCATTTATGGAGGTGTTGTGGGGATGAAATGAGACAACAGTTATGAAAGGCCTTTGTCAGACACGAGACACTGTGCAAATGATGCGAATGTTTTACATTATCAGCATCCGACACGCGGCAGCACAGGTCTGAACGTGGCACTCTTTCTGTTAGAACTGGCTCAGGGAGTCCCCGATGACTGCAGAATGAAGTCCAAATTCTTCACAATCCAGTTTTCCACTATCTTTCCAGACCCACTTCTTCTCCCAGAGGCTACATCAACCATCAGGAGTCAGCTCAAATACACTCTTCCAAAAGCCAACCCTGATCTCTGCCAACCAGAAATAACCTTTCTTCTTCTCAAATGCTGGGGCACTTTACTTGAACTTTCCCCAAAGACATTCCTTTGTCACTTCCTACTTTAGACTGTACCTATTCATAGCTACCGCTTATTAAGCTTCTAGCTACATATCCAAGTATTGTACTAGACTCGCATTATTCCTTCTGACCAAAATAACACTCTCTAATAGTAATGGAACTAATCCCATTTAAATAGGGGGGAGTGGGGGGGAAGCTACCAACTTGCAAGCAGGAAATTCAAACACAGGACAAATTTCATAGCCCATGTTTTTCCCATGGTGCCTGCTGCCTCCATGGCTTTATTCATGGCCCTTGACCTATGCCCCAAGGAATGTATAAAGCCCTTGTTAGTGGATTCAGTCTGATTTATCTTTGGTATCCCTCACAGATCCAGCACAGTACTCAACACACAGAAGAGGCTCAGTACCTGACCCTGGTCAAGTCGGTTGACCTTTACGTGCCCCAATTCTTCAGCTATGAAATTGGTCACATGAGCACAGATCAACTCATTTCTAACATTAGCAGTGATAGAAATATGCAACATATTATAAGAAGAGCATTTAAAAAGTCTTAATAAATGGAGAAAAATAACATTTTCCCAGCTGCAGAGACTCACTAATGGAAGAGGAGATAGAGGTCTTTTTCTCCAAAATTCATCTCTATATTTAACATAAGGTCAATTCAATTTACTTCAAGAGGAAGTGGCCCGGTTCAACAAATAGGCACTTTCATATAAATTGGTCCAACCTTTGGAGGGAAAGTTGGAACGGTATCTATAAAAATGTTATATGGACATGCCCTTTGACAGAAATCCCGTTGTAGGAATCTACCCTGCAGAAATGCAAACACATGCTACCAAAGATGGACAGGGAATGTTCGGGGCAGTTAGTTTTGTTTGTCACAGGAAGAAAGAGAGAGAGGAAGAGGGCAGATGTTCAGGATAATTACACCAGAGGATGATATGGGACATTAAAAAGAAAAGAAAGGTTTACAGATACTGACAAAAGAGTCTTAGCTAGGTCTCTGTTATGGTCTGAATGTTTATGTCCCTCAAAATTCATATACTAAAACCCTGATTCCCAGTGTGATGGTATTGGGAGATAGGGTCTTTGGGAGGTAATTAGGTCCTGTCCCTGGAGCTCTCCTGATGGGCTCAGGGCTTTTGCAAGAGAGATAGGTGAGAGCCTGTTCCTTTCTCTGCTCTGCCAGTGAGGACACAACGGGAAGGCGGCCTTCTATAAACCGGGAACCGGAACCCAACTAAACTGGCCCCTGATCTCCGACTTCCAGCCTCCAGAACGGGGAGAAATGTTTCTGTTTAAGCTACCCAATCGATGGTCATTTGTTCCAGCAACTGAGCAGATTTAAAAAGTCTCTAAGGGAAAAATGCAAACTATGTCAATGCAAACTGTAGAAAAATGTTCACAATCTGATCATTTTTTTGTAATGGGGAGTATAATTTATTAGTAGTGGCGGAAGAGATGAAAGCATGGGGGATAGAGGTTTCCTGTTCTGCTTTCTATATTTATGCAAAAAGCATACATTACTTTTATAATCCTCTGTTGAATTTAACAAATACCCATTCAACAAATACTGAGTCCGGTGTGTCAGGCACTGGGAGGGTGAACGTGGCCCTACTCTCAGGACCCTTGTAATCAAAAACCAAGTAGAAATAAGAACGTACCATTGTTTGTTTGGGTGGAGCAGGAAGAGGTTGGTTCCCTTAAGCAAACTATTCTAAAGATCATCTGGAGTTAATACTAACAGGAACTGCTAGGAAATGCTACTTTGGTGGCACATATACTAAAATTGGAAGGATATATTGAAAATTAACATGGTCCCTGTGCAATGATGACATCAAGCTAATGAAGTACTCCATCATTTTATTATTGTGATGGTGGTGACATTTGACAAAACTCATCAAAATATACATTTAATTTGTGCATTTTCTTGCACGTAAAACTGTACCTTAAAAAAACTGATTTTTTTTAAACCCAGGAAAATGAAGATAGTGGGTAATAAGAAAGAATCTGCCGAACCAGACATTAAACCTATTATAAATCTTCAGTAATTAAAATTTGGTGCACTGACACCAAAATATACTGAAATAGATGCAAAAATCCACAAACAGATACAAATATGTCATAATTTATTCTATCATAATTGTATCAATTTAAATCAGGGGTAAAAAAAAAATAGGCTTAATAGCTTTGCAGCAACTGGCTAACCATGAGCTCTCCATTTTACAGCTCAACCTAGAATAAATTCCACATTTAAATTTCTAAATGAAAGCTTTCAAGTACCTGGAGAAACTCCAGGAGAATATGTTATATAAACTTGTGTCAGGAAAGGCTCTTTTCAGCAAGGCCTTCAAGCAGAAACGATAAAGAAAAAGAATAGATTTGACTAAATAAAAAGTTAAACTTGTACATGGTAAAGATGAAAAACTGACAACAAACATTAGGGAAACTGGGAAAGATGGTGCAACATAAATGACAGAATTACTACTTTTAACGTGTAATATATAAAGAGTGCTTAAAAATCGGAAACAGAAAGTCAACTGAAAAGGGGGCAACAGAATTAAGTCAATTCACCCACACAAATGCAAAAGGCCAACACACATAGCAAGAGGCGTTGATTGCCCCTGGGTAAATCAACGAACACATTGGTAACGGTGGTAATTTCCCCTGGGTAATCAGACATGCAAATTAAAACTATCTTTCTTTTTTTTTTTTTTTTGGTCCATGCTATTGGTTTAACTGTGTGCATGCAGGGAAAATTTAACATATCCAGAAAAAATCTCAACAATCTAAAAGACGAAGTTTAAGTTATCTTTATTTTCTCCTTTACATTTGTATTTCCTGCATGTTTTGTAATGAACTTTTCCTTTAAAAACATTCTAGTAATTTTAATAACGTTAAGTGTTAGACTCGTCTCTTCTCACCTCCTCAAGGACCTGGTAGAGTGCACTCTAGACAAGCACCCCTAAAAGGCTCTCCTCCCTTACAAGGGGCTCATTCTTTGGGGGAAATTCGCGCAGGTCTGCACCCTGAGACCCCGGCGCCGCCCCCGGACCCGAGTGGACCACCAGGGACGAGCAGGGGAGGCCCGGGTGGCGCCCTCCGACGCCGCGGGCTGCGGGCGCAGTGCGGCACCGGCGACTCCCCAGCCCAGCCCCGGGAGAGGGCGAGGCCACCGGCGCGGTCCTCGCTCGCCCCGCGGAAAGCGAACGGGAGCGGAAGCCGGGAGTCCCGGATCTCGCGTCGTCTGCCGCTGACCTTGGGCAGTCCCCGCCGCGCTTGGGCCTCAGTTTCCACACCCGCAGGCCCCGGCTGACAGTCCTGATCGCTGCGCTGGCTCCCTTCGGCCGGTCTTTCCGGGTCCTGGGAGGGTCGCCTTCCCGTGCCCGGTCGCCCTTTCTCGGCCCCCGGGCTGCGAGGTCGCCCGCAGACACCCATCACCGCCGCAGCGCGTTAGAGCGCGCCGGGCTGGCCCGCGGGGTGGACGTGCCGCGGACCCTCGCCGCGGGGCGGCCATTAGGCGATCTGCCCCGAGGCTGCTCGGCCCCGCCAGGCTGGGCAGGAGCGGGGCGGGGGAGCTCGAGGGGGTCTTACCTGGACTCGCACACGCCCGGCTGGCATCTTCCAGTCGGCCTTGCGGCGCCACCAAAGCGGGCGCAGGGTGGGGAGGCGCCCTCGCCGCGACGCTCATTCATCCCTGCGCTGACGCGGGCCCCGGCCACGCACGGGGAGCCCTTCCGGGGTCCCCACAGTTTTCTGGAAGGAAGCGGCCGGCTCCACGGCTCGGGCCAAAGCGAAGCCCGCCTACCCGGAGCGCACGACCCGGCGCAGGCCCTCCTGGCTGCGCCGGCCCGCAGCTGCTCACGGTGCCAGCTGCGGCCGCCCGGAACCTGGTCCCCTCGACCTGGAGCCTCTCCGGGGAGCGCTCCAGCCGCGACGCCGAAGGGACCGGGAAGATCGTGCGCCGCGGAAACCTACCCGGTGGGGGCGGTCAGCTCCATCCTCTGCGCACGCGGAGGGCCGCCTCTGGTGCTGCCTAGACCGGCTGGTGCTGCAGGCCACGCAGGAGCCATTGCCGAACGCAGAAGCGGTTTGGGGGCGCGCCGGAGCCTCGCCTCCTCCCGCGCCGCGCAGCTCCATGTGACCTGCGAGCTGCGGAGCGAAGGCAACCCCCAAACCTAACTTGGGCTGAAAAGGACGGCGAAGGGCGCCAACTGATGGGCAGAGGCGAAAAAGCAGGCTCAGGGCGAAGGAAGTGGAAAGGAGGTAGGGATTGAGTCTCTGCGCTCGCTGTCCGCAGCCTCAGCTGTTCTCTGCTGGAGGGATTTGTTTTTGCCAATCATAAACACAAAATAGGCTCAGAGACATGGAAGCATGAACCAGACTGACAGATGTTAGCGGGGAGGGGGAGGCGGAGGGGAAAAGAGATTAACCAAAGAATTTGTGTGCCTGTATGCATAACTCGTGGACACGGAAAACAGTGCGGGGGGAAGGTCTGGGTGGAGCTGGAGACAGGTGGAGGGAGGCAAAGGGGAAAATGGGAGACGTCTGTAATACGTTCAACAATAACAATGCATTTTAAATAATAATAACGGACACCACTTCCACCCCCAGTCTCCACTGTATCCAGCTTTACCCCAGGCACCTTAGGAACATTCCCCTAGCTGTCACTTCACTCCTGTACCTTAGGGATTGCCATCCCCAATTTGCAAAGGATGAAAGATTTGAGAAGATACTTAGCCATGTGCAACCCTATTCCAAAAGCCAAAAATGTAAATATTTATTTAAAAAGCAGAAAGTCTTGGTTTAACGAGATCACCTCGGCAAGCATGGGGTTTAGGTCTGTAGCTCTTTCCACTCACCTGTCAGACTCTCCTAGGAGGGGCCTTGGTGGTTCATTTGAGTTGCAAGCAGTACCATCCCCACCTTTAATTTTGACAGATGGATGATAACATACCCATCTTACAGATGAAAAAATGGGGGTTTGGCCAAATGAATGATCTTGTCCAATTGACAAAGCTGGTCAATCTAATCTACTAGCTAATAATGTAGTGGTTGTTTGCTAGGCACTGTGTAAAACACAGAATTCACATGATTTTAGTACATACAACAATCTTATAAGGAAACTACTATTACTATTCCAAGTTAAGAAAACTGAGGCTCAGAGGGATTTTGAATTTGCATACCGGGCGGAAAAAAAAACAAGAGAAAATATTAAAAAAACCAAAGATAAATTTTTGAAATTAAAAAAGAGATGAACCCGGCAGGTGTGGCTCAGTTGGTTGAGCATTGTCCCATGCACCAAGAGGTCACCGGTTAGATTCCTGGTCAGGGCACTTGCCTAGGATGCAGCTCAGTCCCCAGTGGGGGATGTGCAGGAGGTACCTGATAGATGTTTCTCTCCCATCCATGTTTCTATCTCTATCTCCCTCTCCCTTCCTTTCTCTGAAATCAATTAAAAAAAAAAAAAGATGAAAGGAATGTCAAAGAGGAGAAATTAGTAAAAAACTCACAGTTAAACACATCTTAGTGACATTTAAGAATATAAAGGGCAAAAATTCTAAAAGGTTTACAGAGAAGAACATATCAACTACACAGGAACAAATATCAGATTGTCATTAGATTTCTTCAACAGCAATCATGGTTGCAATAAGACACTTGGAGAAAGGTTTTCAAATTATTAAAGAAAGAAAACTTATTATCCAGAATTTTATATCCAGCAAACTTATGCAGATATGTAGGCATGACAAAAATGTTCTCAAGCACAGGCAGTCCTCACTTTTGCACAGTAGTGCAGAACTGAAAAATGACTGTGCATGCTGAAACCATACAAAACCATTTAAATAATCAATCGGAAAACAGGATTATTCCATGACCTTAACATTTTTTTTTTTTTTTGCCAAAACTTTAAAAATTCTCATACTGTTGGGTATAAAAACATTCTTACTGTCTGGGAAAATGAAAAACAAAGTCAAACTAATAATTATTTAGTACATTATAATTTACATTTTAGAAACATTGAGAATTAAATTTTTTTTTTTGGTAAAAACATCAAGAGTAATTTAAGTAGTGCTTGCCCTTTTCGATGTATAACCTGCCTCCTAATAAAAGAGTTACTCTATCTTTAACTCTTTATTGACCACTTTGAAATTCTGTCTTCCTTTGCTTAAATTCCTGGTGTTGCCCTTGAAAAAGGCTTGTCTCGTCGATATATATACTATTTGGTGATCATTATAAGCAGCTGTGTGTCCTTATTTCCCCAAAATGCCGACTCTGAGCTTGAACTAAACTGAAAGCTTTGTTTGTGCTGATTTCAGCCTGTCAATAACCAATGTGTGGCTGGACTGGCCCTGGTGGTCTTATTATGATTACAAGACACCCTTTTCCTGGTTACATCAGGAAACTTAAAAAAAATAAAGGTTTATTATTTACAGGACCTGGAAGTTACACAGCACACCTGGGGCTGCACAGCAGGCCTCTGGTAGAGTGACAGTGTATGCATGGGCCTAAGGTTGTGCTTTTATTGGGCTTGAGGGCGGGGGCCTACAGTTTCAGGCTGACTCTTTTTTGGTGAATTTAAACCTTAAGTGTAAGAATTTAAAGCCCGGGAAGAAAAAAAAAGCACAAATGGTCAGTCACTGAAATCTAACAAGATATCTTAAGCAAAGGAGCCTCAGCCCCAGAGGCTGCCTAGCCCCTTATCTGGTTTTGTGCCTGGAAATGTGTTTATTCCATGTGGCCATCACTGAAGTGGATGCTTCTTTGAAGTTTATGCCTCAACAACCAAAGCTTAAATCAGGCACTTGCGCGACAAAAAAGAAAAACAACAACAATGGTCAGTGCTTACACTAGCAATGTAAGCTGGCCCTTTAAATACAGTTCCTCATGTTGTGACCCAACCATAAAATTATCTTTGTTGCTACTTCATAACTGTAATGTTGCTACTGTTATGAATCGTAATGTAAATATCTGATATGCAGGATGGTCTTAGGCGACCCCTGTGAAAGGGTCGTTCGACCGCCAAAGGGGTCGCGACCCACAGGTTGAGAACCGCTGCACTACAGGTTTCTTGGTGTACTTACAGGTTACGTTACGGCTTGCAGGGGTTAACAAAACTCTACCCAGTAGATGTGGAGCTCTAACTGGAGTTAAACACTCGGGCAGCATCCCATCTAGCGGGCAGAGAGACGCTCCAAGGGTTTGCACAAAATGGAAGCCTTCTATAGGAAGGGTGTGGCAGGGAGATTTTTAGTAAAAACAAATGGGTTGGCCTTAATGGATTATTTTTAGATTATTTTAGGACGTTTTCTTTTGGGTGGAAGGGAATGGCTAGGGCTTTATCTGCAGGTCGCCTCTTGTTCCTGTGGGGAGATGGGCGATGTCGAGAGGGCAGGTAACCTTACTTTGCTGATGCGTAAGATTTGCTGATAAAGATTATGTTTCTGGGAGAGGTTGAAACTGCAATTAAATCAGGTATGAAATCTAGGTTTTGGTATCTCGGGCGTTAGCACAAGTAAGGCCTTTGGGGCCTGTGATTCTCTCTTCAACACTAGCAAGTCAGCTACAAACAAATAAGATCACGCAATGAATGGAATGTAAGTTTCCAGGAACCAGTGACAATGCAAAGCAAGGTACTTGCTCATTCATGTTTTATACACCGACTGCGGGCCAGCTAGCCTTCCACGCCCCACGGTGCCTGCGCCCAGCGTTCCTCCGTGCAGGGGGGGAGGAGGGGGGGGGGGAGGCGGGGTGTCAGCGGCGGCCTCAGGAGCAGGGATGTTGGACACCTCTAGGGCCCCGCGAGGCACGCTGGGCACTGCTAACATTGCAGCAGACCGCACCCCAAGAGGACCCAGAGAACACCAACTCCCAGAAGGCATTGCGTGCCCAGCAGCCCCAGAACCCACTGGCTGGTGGTACTGAGGGCTGGGAACCAGCGGCGTCCAGCTCTGCTGCCAGGGCCCAAGATGAGATGGGTTGCACCTCTTTAGGATCTTCCTATAGCTCAGTGGTTCTCAACCTTGGCTGCACATTAGACTCACCTGGGAATCTTTTTAAAATCCTGATTCCTGGGCCTCATCCTCCGGTAATTCTGTTTCTTTGTTACTAATGTTGTGGCCCCACCCCATAAGAAAGAAACAGAATTTCCGGAGGATGAGGCCCAGGAATCAGGATTTTAAAAAAGATTCCCAGGTGAGTCTAAGGTGCGGCCAAGGCTGAGAACCACTGCTCTAGATGATGAGCATGCCATTGTTCCTCCCTGGAAAGCAGACACTTAACCACTCAGGTGGATGAAGCAGAAGAGGAGACTCTAAAGAGGCCAGATGAATCTGAAAGAAAACAACAAACCAGAATGTGAAGCTGTCCTGGCGTTCAATTCAGCGATGACTTTAACTGCACCAAAAAGCCGCGGGTACCTCTTGACTATCCAATGGATGGTAGTTTTGAGTCACCCCACACTAGGGACATGCCCATTGTATTGGATGATGAAAGCCAGTGCTAATGAAGCTTAGGGAACTGGAGGTTACATGCCACCCTAATGTGGGTTACATGAAGAAACAGCCAGACATCGCCAACTGTAAGGGCTATCCTCCTGGACCGGTTAGTTGAAGTAGGAGAAGAATATAAACTACAGAATGAGTCCCTGCACGTGGCTGTGAATGACATCCACGGGCTCCTTTCAACCATGTCTGTGTTGAGAGGAAACCAGCTTGTGGGCACTGCGGTTTCGCTGTTAGCCTCAACGTTTAAAGAAATACACTCCCAGAAGTAGCAGAGTTTGTGTACATTACAGATGACACCTGCACCAAGAATCAAGTTCTAAGAATGGAGCACCTCGTTCTGAAAGCCCTTGCTTTTGACTTGGCTGCACCAGCAGTAAATCCGCTTCTCGCTCAGTACTTTGGGCACTAGCGGTCTTCGAACAGCAAAGCGGAAAGCTTAGCAGTGTCTTTGAGAGCCTTCAGTTTGGTAGGTGCTGACTCATTCCTTACGTGTTTACATCAGTTATTTCCAGAGCGGCCTTTCCTCTAGCACGCCACACAGTCCCAGGGCAAAGCTGGCCTGAATCCTTGGGACAAAAAGATTAGATATGCCCTGGGAAGTCTGCAGCCTTG